TAGTTTTCATATTGGCAGGTAAAGGGTTGATCAATGCCCACACCCCAGTGCTTGGCACATTGCAAGTATTAAATGAGTGTATATTTATTGAACAAACTGAATGATCCCATATCTAGTATGCATCTAAACCCTTTTTTACTTGGTAACAAGGCACTTTAAGGGATTCAATTCATCCAAAACATTCAACAAACTTTTCATAAAAATGTTTCACATTATTCCTATCTACATAGGAGGTCTAGGTTTGCAACAGATTTTTTTTTTTTTTGGCATGATCAGCTCTGTTCAGTTACATAATCTTCATGAGTTGTCTCCTCATATGCGATGGTTACTGCTACTATCTTTTCTGATATCAGATCACTGTCATGAAATCATTTTGTTTCCTAATTATTCTGACTCTGAAATAGCAGCAATGAGCTTCATATATTTGAAATGGCTCAAGAAGTCAGTTTAAGAAGGGACTCTATAGCCAAAATGATATGAAATGCTTGATGAATATTTTTCCTAAAGAAAGAGTTATACTGTCATCAATGGAAAGGGAATCTGTCATGTGGTTAGAAAAGAACCCAGATTTTTAAATAACACTATTTATCTGTCATCTTTTAAAAATAATTCCTAACTTGATACTTTACACAGCTAATAATTCTATTCATTTACTCACAACTGAAAGCAAAATCACATAAGAAATATTACAAAAACAAGTCATTCTCAGAGAAACACTGAACTTTTTCCAAAATCACATTCTATTGCTCAATTTATAAAGCGATGGAATTGTTTCTTAGGAGGATTTCATGATTTCTGGATGACTTCTAATAAATGGACTAATAATTCGCATTTAATTCACTTTTCAATTTATGGCCAAATTTTTCATGTCAATGATGATAAAAAATATACAAAATATACTTTACTGTTGGGGGAAAACGGGAAAGTATATGAAATAAGTTAGAAATATGAACCTTGGATTGAAAAATAAAATCCAGAAATGTACAGGCGGCTTAAAATTCTTTCACAACTATTTACTTTTCATTACAATGATTTTCCAAAGTCAGAGGTCGGTAAGGATCACTTGGCTGTAACCAACTTTGTCAGCAAGGAAAGGAAAGGAAGTGAACTATGACTCCAATCTGAATGCTGTGCGCTACAAAGTCAGTTGTGAGGATTTAAAATGAGATGGTCGCCTTATTAAAATTAGAAAGCAGATTTCAAAATAACCTTACAAAGGTAACTTTAAGGTACTTGTGTGTGTGTGTGTGTGTGTGTGTGTGTGTGTGTGTATATATATATATATATATATATAAACTTTTCTTTTTAATGAAAAGATATCTTTCCATTGCATAACAACTCCTAAATATAGTTATATACCAGCTACGAAACACTGGACTCGTCTGATACACAAATGTCAGGAGGTGAACGTTTTGTTGTGATTGTTCCTACAAGACTGAGTTAATCTTGACATTTAGCAGTTCTGAGAATGCCCACAAATCCCATGAATTAGGATATTTTATTTTAAGGAGAAACACAGGATATGGATGAACTTTTGAATGTCCTTCATAAAAAGACAATTTTGCCTAAGCATAGAGACTAAGTATGCAAGGTTTTGCACACATATTTCTGACTTCTTATATTCACCATGAGGTATTTAAGGGATCTCTTTAGGAGATCATTTTGACACAAGATTTTCAGCGAGCAGATAAGCTTCACATTAGCACTCCCCAGACACAAAGCTCCCGTGAAAAGAGTAAGACAGACATGTAAGCAGTACTTACAGCACTTCCAGATCCCGGAGAGCCCTAAACGCCCCATCTTCAATACAGCTGATCTGGTTGTAATCTAGCTGCCTGTTAAACAGATTAAAAGGAGATATGTAAAAGGGGTGAACATGAGTAGGGCTAGGTGAAAGGAAGTCTCCGGAAGGGTCTCTGGAGCCCTGGCCGCCCTCACTGAATTGCTCTCCCAAAGACACTCATCTGCTTAAGAATGTCACAAGCCATTCTGGCCTCAATGCCGCCACTGAAATCTCTTTTTGTTCTGAACTGTCTGTGCACACAGCAGCCCTTGGAAAGCTCCAGTAAGTAATAACTGCACCTTATATTAAATGCCATAGGAATGCAATTTCATTACATCAAGAAAAGCTATCCATTAAGAGCTTTCAGCGTCATCTTGCTGAAACAATTTCATTAAGGTAAAGCACTGTAAATCACTTAATGTCACAGGCACCCCTCAGTGACCTAACAGAATCCATTTATCAGAGAAGCCCAGCTGCATGTTAATTGCACTATCCTTGGCAAGAACCAGCAAGACTACTTTTAGGTTTTCTTCTTTTAAAAGCAGTTTTCCTTCGAGAACTCCAAAGCAAGAAAGGACAAAGAATGTCTGTTATCTCTCCCCGCGATTCCCCATGAGTGGTCTGCTTAGAAAGCTAGCATGGGTTCTGTACTCAGCTTCGCTGTTCTCAAAACCTGCATTCTTCATCGTTACACGCAGATACTCCTTACTGTCCGTACACTTTTTAGTTAAGGGGCTTCCAGAATTATAGCCTGGATGCTCCTCTCCGGAGAATAAGTGTCTAAGGATTCACAAATAAAGAAAACAATTTGATTTTCTCAAAGATGTTCATTTTAGCTCCAAACACTTTGAGATGCAATGCACAAACATCACTTAAAAAACTGCATAGATCTATAGTAAAAAACTGTAAAAGCTGCATTAGTTTATTCCAAACCATACCTAATGCAAGCAAGTTTCTCTAGTCATTAGGTACTCGTTTGTTAAAATCAAAGAGGAAAAAAATAAAGCCAATTCAAACTGGATAATTTCTTTTTTTTTTTTTTCCTGCTGCTTGAATTTTGGAATTAATAGTGTCTTACTCAGATTAAGGAAACTATTAGATGGAAATGAAAAACGAAATCCTGTCTATAATACACTCTTCTTTTTACAAACAAGCAGTTGTTTAAATTTTACAGCCTGATGCTTAGAGACATTATTATTCTAGTAAAGAAGGTACTTTAATGCTTCACTTGAAATAGACATGGAAGGTTTCATTAAATAGTAAGGTGAGTTGTCAGCTCTCTAAGCACTGGTGAGTCAATGCAGATGCAGAGCAATAAGACCATGATGATAATACAAAAGAACTTTGTCCTTGGTTCAAGTTTTGAATTCATATTTGAGATCTGCTCTTAAAAAACTGTCTAAACATTCCTCTGAAGTAGCTATTGCCTTCCCACGACTATGGAATAAAGGTGCAATATTTAATCCCATCATTTTCAGAAGGCCTCTTCAAATTTAGAAATTATGTACAGAGAGAATGGCTCATGGAATAATACATCTCCTTTTTTAAGAAGGTCTCTAGGGGATACAATCATACTGAAGACTACCTTGATGTCATGCAAATGGTACCATGTAGAATATGAAATATATATGCACACACATACCCACACACACCACACACAATGCGTTGCCGTCAAGTCAGACCTGACTCATAGCAACCCCTCCTTGGGTTTCCGAGGCATTATCACTACGGAAGTAGGATTGCCCAACCTTCCTTCCGAGGAGTTGCTGGTGGGTTTGAACTGCCAGCCTTCTGGTTAGCAGTCAAGTGCCTTAGGCACTATGCTACCAGATATCTTTCTCTCTCTCTCTCTCTGTATATATATAAATACAGCCTGGAGAAGAAAAAATACTACTTTTACAAACTAAGGCTTTCCCCAAACACTAGCTACTATCCATGCTACTGTGATAGCCTAAGGCATTTCTACTTATTGGAAACTAATACAGAAGTATAATTTTATTTTCTAAGAAGAGTTTTAAAGTCTCATGATATAATAGGATGGCTGTGGTTCCAAAAAACAAAACAAAACAAGTTCTTGAGCTCATTGAGTTTTACAGATTAAATTCATTTAACAATTAAGTTAAAGCCTTTTGATTTTTAACGTGCTAAATCTCTATCTACACTGCTATTCTCTAACCTCTTGAACAATTCATCAAAGCCATTTAAATTAGCACAATGGCCTCAAGTGTTACCCTTGTCACAATACAAAAGAGAAATTGTGTCCAGACAAATTGGAAAAATCTTTTAATGCTATCAAATTTGCCTAATGCAGTCTCCAGGTTAATCTGTAAAAGGATGAGCTGTATGTTTGCCCCTATCTTATTATCCTTAGCTGTCAATGTATAAATCAGTGCTGACACAGCTTCTTCTAAATCATCCATACTATACACAAAGGGGAAGCATGACATGCCGGAAAGCACTCAAGCAAATCTTGTCCTACAAGGACTGAAAGACGATTCCAGTCCTGATACCAGCAGAAGCCAAGACACTGCTGAACACTTTACTAATCTCACCACTCTTTCCCATTACTCACGGTGACTTGCTTTTCTCACTCTTATCAGAAATCTAATCTCTTTTTGGTGCTAAAACATTAAGAATATCTGGTTTGCATAGGACGAAAGGTTTTCTTAAGCGTTTTCTGAATGCCATGATATCTCAGTTCATACATCCTCTGGGAATGACGGTCTTTGAGGAAGTTACTCATATTACAGGACAATAAAACTCCAACAAGTGGATAATTTTTGCATCCATATGTGGATTTTGCATTCAAAAGAACATTGATGGCAATGCTTGAACGCTCATAAGAAAATCCCTCCAAAGAAGCCTCTATTTGTCTGCATATGGTTCAAGATAAACGGTGTCAAAACTACGCAAACGTGTGATTTATTTCAGGGTGTCTGGATTATTTTTCTGCACCTTGTTTCTCTCTCACTGCTCACTTCCCTCTGCTACCTTTGAAGCCCTGTGCCTCTGCTTTCTGTAAACAGAGCAGGATCAGGTCTCAGCCATGCAGTTAGTGACGGATGACCTGACCCCGTCGCCAGGTGCTCTCCAATTGTGCCAAGAAATTATTCTGAATTAAAGAATCAGTAAGAGGGTTTCTCCCGCTCTCATTCTCCATAAATACCGCTGTAACTCTTTAGCCAGACAAGGTAAATCATTTTAAAGAGACTGGGATGATGAAGTCATTACATACAACAGGGACAGTTGAAGACCCTTTCCTGGGTAGGAGCTGCTCAAGGCAGACCAAGGCAGGGCTTTGCTTGTTTTGGGGAAGGAAAGAAAGGCACCATATGAGCAGTTTCCTTCACACCTTCAGCGTCCTACCTTAGCACAGACTATTGTGTCTCCTTCTCCCTGGTTTCCTACCTACAGGTGCCCCTTCTACTTCTCTGTGCAAATTCCAAGTCCCCACTCCACCCAATCTGGCATGGTCTTAGTTTGTAAATTGGTGTTTTAAATTATGACTTGATCTTTAATTTCACGACAATGAGGAGGTGAAAACGAATAGATAATCTTCAAACTCTATCTCCCGGCTAGCATTCTATGGTTCTCTTTTCACTGACAACGGCTCCTTTTCTGATGCCCTAGAAGAACCCAGGATGCCATGGTCTGATTTTCCTAGCACTAGCCTTAGACAACACAGTGTGTCAGAGGAGCCTGCTCCTTATGAAGAGAGACACCACTCTGTGCCACACGCACTCTCTGAACCTGACTTGTTTTTCTTTAACACTAAAAATAATTTAGCCTAGTTTCAAAAGTTGTTTTATTCTAGGTATGGAAGACAATATATAATGTTGCGAAATGTAAGTTTTAAAGCAGGTACGATGACTGACAAAAAGTTAAAAATTTGTTTACTTGGCATTCTTGTCAGACAGCTGGAGTCATTGTATTCTGTTACTCTTACATTTTCTTCAAGGATTTCCTGCTTTCTTAAAATTGGGAGAGTATACTCGGTTTGAATACACTTGCCTTCCTGTATTAATTTCCGTTGTTTTTGTCCCCTCCCCACCAAATCACGGTGTCCAATAATAAGATCTCATCACAAATTGATGAGGTTTTTTTTTTTTTTCTTTTTTTAAGAATTAAAACATTGTAAGATATACTTAACTCTGAACCAGTACTGAACACAGCAATCTCTGATCATTTCTAAATGAGGCAGGATCACTCCCAGTCTCTTAAAAATCATTATGACTATGTTCCAGGTTTTGTTTGGTTTTGTTTGGATTCTAGAAGTAGAAGTTCAATTCATATTCATATTACTATTGGAGAGACAGCAAACTCCACATATTTTCTTGCCTTCAAACATGTCAAGGTGGTCAGGATTAAGATTGGGAAGATTCACCATTCAGAGAGAAACCTGAAATCCCAGGGGCAAAAATGAAAGCTCCTAAGAACATGGACATAATCTCTTCTATTTCATACTTTGTGTGTGTAAAATTCAAGTTGATGGGAGCATCGAAAATTCTGACAGATCTTATGCAAGTAATGATTTAAAGCAGTCATCCAAGATATAAATTATAATATTTAGAGCATGTAAGAATAAAATTTAAGATTGTTTTATATAAATGATTATCCTACATGCAGTTTCAGAAACTGTATCATTTATCTCAACATAAAAGTAAATTAGTGTTAATCTGGCCATTTGTGGAGAAACAGCCAAGACGGGGACTATTCTGAGGAACTGAAAATAATTTACAGTACATAAGATTGGGCAAGTGTGCTGCAAAAGACCTCTTTAAAGTGTTATTGGTGGCAAACTTGTCACTCTGAGGACAATGGTGTGCCTGACCCAATTGAAAATTGAATACTTGTGGTATTTTCAATTGCCTCATATGCATGTGAAGCTGGAAAATGATTAAGAAAGACTGAAAAAGAACTGATGCATCTGAATTGTGGTGTTAGTGAAAAATATTGGATGCACCCTGGACCATCAGAAGAAGGAACAAATTTGTCTTGGAAGAAGTACAGCCAGAATGCTCCTTGGGAGTGAGAATGACCAGACTTTGTTTC